TTAGTTTTTAAAGTCAACTTCTAAAGAAGAACTTAGAATAAGTAAAATCACCTTTTTTTTGGTGTATAGTTTGCTGAGTTTTGACAGATGTATGGTCATGAGCCACCATCACAACCGAGATGCAGAATCTTCCCATCATTCCACAAAGTCCCCTACTAAGTCACCAAGCTTTGGAGTAGTTTGTCGCACAGAAATACTAACCAGGACCACATTCTGTGCTCTCCTGTGGGCTCATTCAGTTTCTGTTCCCCTGGCTCTGTGAAGGTCCTCTCTTGGGAGCTCTTGCTAAGCATCTGTTTTCCCTTAGACTAGAAGCTCTGTGAGGGCCGGATCCGTGAGACTTGCTCATGGTTGCTGCTCCTGTGCTCGGCATGTTCCTGGCACATAGCAGGTGCTCATTAAATCTCTGTTCAATGAATGGAGGAATGTGACAGAGGCCTAGTGGGTCTAGAGACTCTGACTTTAAGCACACCTGATATTTTTTTTTAAGTCACATAATTTCTCAGCTTCAGAGGGGGGCAATATGAGATACTCTAGCATCCCATCTAAAGGCTAAAGGCGTAGAGTTGGTCCAGATAATTCCCTCACTCACACCTCGATGTTCAATAACTTTATGGAGCACCCACTGTGTGCTAGGCACTATTCTAGGCACTGACAATGTGAAGGTGAACACCAGCAGACACAGTCCATGGACTTTACCATCTAGTGTGGGGGTCACATGAAAACACAGTGGGTGTACAAAATCATGTGCTCTGGTAAACCACTGGACATGCTGTAGAAGCCCCTCCAAGCCCCCATCCCGCACGCCGGTCCTGAGCTCAGTGGTTCTTATAATGTTCTCTGGCACATGAATGGCCCCGTTCCCTTGGAATCATTGCTCAGGAGGGAGAGTCTCCTATCACAGTCATTTGCCATCAGTATTAGAGATGGTCTGAGAATCACTTCGTTTATAGAATAGTGGACCCTCCTGAAGTAAACATGCGGAAGGCAGACAGGCGCAAAACCATCAGGGGGTCTGTTCCCTCCAATAATCTCTGACTTTAAAATGACAAAATAGACCTTTCAGATAGACCAGCCAGCCTCATGAACGCTGTCCAGAGAATTCAACCCGGGGACACTTGCTTGAGAACACTGGCAATTTCAAATGCCTTGATCATCCTGATCTTTCAGTGACGTTATGGCTGGGAAAGCAGCATACTGCCTTATAAATATTTCCCGTTATGGAACTTTTTGGTAAGCTCCTGAAGTAATTTTAGATCTCAGCTAGGTTTGTTCTCCCTGCTGCCCAATACAATATCTTCCAGGGCTGCTGTACTGATGTGATCTTGAGAAAAGAGAAATTAAGACAATTTCCCAGCATTCTGTAAGCATTTGCATGTGAATGCAGGCTGTCCTGCTGTTTGATAAATCTGATATGTAAGAAAGCCATGAGAATCAAAGTTCACATCCAATTGGGCGCTTTACATGTACGTTGAGAAGGTTGTTACAAAAATGTGATAATATCCTTCCAAGTATACGACTAATGAGAATATGCATAGCACATCTGAGATAGCTCAAATGTGTAATTATTGTGAGGATTTCACAGACATATAAATATAATGATCTTCAGCTAAGTAAATTGCTAGCTACCAATGAAATAAATAGGGTCCCTTCAGAATTTGAAATAATTTGGAATGGTAGGTGGTGGGAAATGATTCACCTTGGCTGTTGTCTCTGAAACAGTAATATAGAAATATATCTGCCAACTCTGGAGCATTTACATTGTTCTGCATATCCTGTGGAGTTTGTCAGAAGAGCTCTGGGCCCCGCTGCCTCCCAGCCCCTCATTCTGATAGGCCTACGCGCAGCGTGGCTCAACACTGGGTCGGAGCAGCTAATATTGTTTACCTCGGTAGGCATCCCAGCCATAATATTTTTCCAAGAAACACCGATGTGCTTAAAGGTCAGGTTGATACTGATTTGACGGAATAACATAAATTCATCTTTCTAGGAGTAAAATGGTGTGCATGACTTGGTTTAAAGGTTAAACTGTTTTTTGTGCACTGGATAGGTCAAAGATATAAGACTTTAATACACCAAGTATAATTACCTGTTTAGACAGACAGGGAGATGTAGCCCAGGGTTTGATTCTTCAAAGAGATATTTGAAAACTTAGGAATCTATTGACATCTTGTCATTCTTGAATACATTTCACTAGAGGGGGAAAAAAATCCTACAAGGGTACTCAGTCAGAAGGGCTGTCTCTTTCCCACCCCTGGTTATGTCTGTTGGGATTCTAGAAATTGAGTTTCAAGCTCTGATAGAGTTTAAGAATGTTGTCAGATAGGAAGTTCCCTCAGGGCTCCCAAGTACAAAAACGAGATATAGCAGGCGCTAGATAAAAGCTTGGTAGTTGAATGAATTGAATGCATCTTATCTTGAAAACCCACTAAGTTGGCTTTGATAAATATGGAGAAAGGTGGAA